CTTCGCTTCAACCTTTTGTCAGCCGATTAGCTGATGAAGTGCGGCGTTCAACTGCAGACACACGAAGGAGAATTTCATTTAATCCACGGCAACACACTCATTGGAAAGGCAAAATGCAAAACGGAGTGTTCGTGCTCAACTTTGACTCACCTGGAAATGTCGGCCACAAGGACCGCATCATCGCCCTTGATCTGGCGGGACATCCATCGCCACCTGCTTGGACTCATTCGAAAGAGACGGATCTGGAAAGACCATAACCGGATAGGCTGTGCCACGGCCTCACCGTGCCCGTCGTCTTGACCACAAAACCTGCACACACTGGACCACAGGTAGTTGAGGAAGAGGCCAGCTCAGCAGGAGGACAGGCACAAGCAATCTGGCCCAGAGTCGAAAAACCAACGGGCTGGAACATGACAGAAGGCCGGGATGGAGCAGATGTTGCCTCGACAACATGCGGAACAAAATGGGGAGCAAGGCTTGGACAGGTCACCAAAACTGAAGAAGGTTGGGTTGACACCGTAAACCTGTAAAAGAAGAACCAGAAGTTGGCGCGAGAAGAAATTGTCGTCAATATGTCTGAGCATGCAACATGATTACCTATTGTGGAGAAAGAGCCCCTTACCGAGTATGGACCTCATCTCATTGCAGTCACAACGGACGGAAGAAGCTACCTTCGCCTCAACACACGGGGAGTAGCTATCGGCAGCACCAACTTCGAAGAAGGAGAACCAGAAAATCAGCAAATCAGCGCGGCACCCGATCCACGTATCTAGAAGGACCACCGCAGCTTGCTGTGATGATCGACACCAGAACCATCGGCGATTCCGAAGAAGCATACCACGGGACAAGACTCGAGAATCTTCACGCGAAAACTGTTGAAGTCCTTGTACCAGATGAACCTGCGGACGAAACGAGAAGAGCGACAGTAGAGGATGTATTAGCACGAGAAAAGCAGCTATATGCGCGCACACGTGGATATCGCTGTTGAAGTAGGTAGAGGATCCTAGGCTTAGGAGAAACCCTAGCCTAGGAGAATGTCGAGAGGAACGAGAGGTGAGTTGGCCAAAAGGGGATGTTCACTATAGTGTGAGCAATACAAATAGGCAGGAATCAAGAAAGGTGCACCACCAAACAGAAAGTGATATGACTACAGTATTCTACACTACAGGCAGTTATAGAACAATATATAAAACTATATATTATTCTGACACGCCCCCATAAGTGCCTGTAGGGAAGAATATGCAATCAACGCCCCCATAATGGGGTACACCAGACAGAGTGCAGCGGAAGAAACAGTGGCAGGCAAAAGCAGTGATAGCCGGTGCAGAAGTGGCAGATCCAGTTGTACCAAACCCTCCGCCAAGGCAGAAACAAAAGCAGGTGTAGGAGCGGCAGGTCGCCTGAGGAGCAGGCTCTGTGGCTGCAACGTGCAGCAGGACAGCAGCGGCTCGACGGCAGCACCTGCAGGCCCCAACAGCAGGCAACAGAAGCAAAGGCAGCAAAGGAAGGTGGCGGCAGGGGCGGCAGCTGGAGGTGCCACATCAGCAGCGAGCGACAGCAGCAGATGACCGGCTGACTTCCGTCGCCCCCTCACTCTCCCCCCCACAGCGGCACGTGCGGCAGTGAGAGAGAGAGGAGGGGCGGCAGCTTCTTGCTCACACCCGCCACCCCAAACCCTCCCCCCCCCCACTGCTGCACGCGCAGCAGGGAGAGAGAAGGGACGGCGTGTGGCAGGTTAGCGGTGTGGCGCAGCAGCGAACAGAGAGGCGTCAACCACCCTCGCGCCTCCCCCCCCACCCTCCCCCCCCCCACGACGAGAGTCGCGGAAGGGAGGGGAGGCGGCGTACGCTGCTGCTGGCGCTGGCGCTCGCAGAAGGCGCTGGTGCCGGTGCTAGCGGCCGTGTTGCGTAGGCGCTGGCGCTGGCGAACGCGCTGGCGCAGGTCGCTGGCGCACGCGCGGGCGCTGGCAGCTGGCGCACGGGCTGGCGCAGGTCGCCGGCGCACGCGCTGGTACCTTCGCACGCGCGGGCGCTGGTTGCTAGCGCACGTGCGGGCGCAGGTTGCTGGCGCACGCGCTGGCGCAGGCGCCGGCGCTTCGGGTCGCAGCAGGTCCGAAATCCGAAATTTTGCCAGTGAGAGCGCGGCGAGGAAAGCGTGGCGCAACGAACCAGCGAGGCGCTCGCCATGAGAGCGAGAAAAAAAAAAAAAAAATCTTAGGCCCGAGGATCTAGTAGCCCTGATAACATGTTGAAGTAGGTAGAGGATCCTAGGCTTAGGAGAAACCCTAGCCTAGGAGAATGTCGAGAGGAACGAGAGGTGAGTTGGCCAAAAGGGGATGTTCACTATAGTGTGAGCAATACAAATAGGCAGGAATCAAGAAAGGTGCACCACCAAACAGAAAGTGATATGACTACAGTATTCTACACTACAGGCAGTTATAGAACAATATATAAAACTATATATTATTCTGACAATCGCGATGGTGGTGATATCTGGCACAAACGATTCGGACATCCTTTGGTGGAAACGCTCAAGAACCCAATCAACACAAAAGTGTTTGCGGAAGATGCGTTGCTACCACCGTACAGAAAATTGCTCAAACCCAGGGAATATCTACCTAACTGCACTATCTGCTCGACAACCGCCTTAGCTCACGCCCCCTTCGCCGAAAAGGTTATGAGTGCTGAGCGATACAAACCACTCAAGAAGGTCTACTGCAACTTCCTAGTACTTACAATAAAATACAAACCACTCATGGGGAACAATACACAATCACCTTCATCGACACCGGCGCGCGTTTCGTTTGGGCTGCGAACGTCACCAACCGCCACCTTGCCTATCACTACTTCTACCTCTGGCTGAAACTCGCAGAAACACAGAGTGAAGGAAAGAAGCTGAAAACCTTCCAGACGGACGGAGCACTAGAGTACACAACAGAGGAGTTCAAAACCCTCCATGCAGAAGAGGGAATCAAGAGGATGATTTTTCTTCCCTACGGCCACAAGCAGCAGGGTTTGGCGAAAAGAACCAACAGAAGCTTCGCGACTAAAATGCGAGGCCCCATGAAGCAGTCATGTGCAGATTGTAAATTGAACAAGTAACTTCATTAGGGGAGAAACCAAACATACATAATTGGAAGAGAGGCTTAGAAGGGAAGGGTGAAGGCGACCATAGGTTGGGTGGACCTCACTTGGGGGAGTGAAGCAACATAGGTCAAGTAGGGTGGGTTGCCCACCCTTTGTAGAAGTGAGGCAACCCTAGGCCCACTTGGCTTGAGGTGACCTCACTTGTAGGAAGTGAGGCACCCATAAGCCAAGTGGGTTGCATTTGGGGGCTCCACCACAATTGGGTGGATTGGCACCCCAAAGTGCAAGACTACACCCAAAGTTGGGTGTAGTCCCAACCCAACTGTACACCACAATTGGTGTACAGTCACAAGTGTTGGCATGCTATACAATATATAATTCTAACACAACCCCTTAGCATGCTAACACAAGAAGAGAACAACCCCTGAATCAAGGGGTGCCCGAACGAGTGAGGCCAATGAGGCGGAGGAGGGCAGAGTGAGCAGGGCGAAGGAGGGCCTTAGTGAAGATGTCGGCCAAGTTGGCCTCGGCCGCAATCTTGCGAACGGCAATAAGGCCCTTCTGGACGAGCTCGCGAATGAAAAGGTTCCTAGCGGAGCTCGATGTGCTTGGAGCGGGCATGATAGACAGGGTCCTCAGTGAGATGGATGGTGCTGGCATTGTCGCACCAGAGAGTGGGGCACGTCTGGGGGGCGCCAAGCTCTGCAAGAAGGAAGCAGAGCCAGCGTGACTCCTAGGCGGCCATGGTGCCAGCGTAGAGCTTGGCTTTGCAGGTGGAGAGAGAGATGGTGGAGGAGTGGGTGGAGCGCCAGCAGATGAAGCCGCTGCCAAGGTTGAGGCTGTAGCCCTGGGAGGAGCGGCGGTCCGGCTGCGTGTCAGCCCAAGAGGAGTCACTGAAGCCCGAGAGAAGAGGAGGGGAAGGGCCGCCAAGGGTGAGGGCAAGGTCCTTGGTCCCTCGAAGGTAGCGGAGGACCCGCTTGGCAGCTTTCCAGTGCTCCTCACTGTGGCGACCAGTGCCGACGAAGCGAGCGAGCAAGGACGCTGACGGGGTAGGCGAGGTCGGGGCGGGTGCACATCATCGCGTACATCAGGGACCCAACGAGCTTGGCATAGGAGAGGGGGGAGGAGGTGGGAGAGGTGGGTGGAGCGAGTTGGTGGCCGAAGGGGAGGGGGGTGGAGACGGGCTTGGCCTGCGCCATGTTGAACTTCTCCAAGACCTGGCCGATGTAGTGGGACTGGGAGAGGGTGATGGTGTGAGCAGGGCGGTTGCGCGGTATGGCCATGCCCAGGTAGTGAGTGAGGGCGCCAAGGTCTTTGCACTTGAGATGCTGCTTCAGGGACAGCTCCATCTGCTCCATGTCAGCCTTGGTGTCAGAGAGCAGGATCATGTCGTCCACATACACCAGAATGAAGAAGTGGCAGGGGGAGGAGCGGATGAAGAGGCTGGCGTCGGAGTGGGAAGAAGAGAAGCCGAGAGACCATAAGGTGGCAGCCAGATTTGCATACCACTCACGTGGTGCCTGCTTCAAGCCGTAGACAGGGCGACGCAGCTGCCAGACAGTGTTCTCAGGGAAGGCTGCGTGGAACCCGGGTGGTCGCCGGAGGAAAATGCGCTTGTGCAGGTCGCCCTGCAGGAACGCATTGGAGACGTCCATGGAATCGATCTCCATGTTGTCGCGCGAACCAATGTCGAGGGTTGCGCGAAGGGTGGGGGGTTTGGCGGTGGGGGCGTAGGTGGCCCAGAAATCCTCCCCAAACGTCTGTGTAAAGCCCTTGGCGCAGTAGCGGGCCTTGTAGACCGGTTCCTCGCGCGGCAGCTACTTCACCCGAAAAAACCCACTTGCCCTCGACAGATAGGCATCGGCGGGGAGGGGGACGTCAACGAAGGATTCGTTGCGGATAAACGCCTCACACTTACCCTGGAAGATTGCTGCTATCCACTTGTCCGCGTCAGGGCATGTGATGGCCTCTTGGAAAGTGGAGGGAGTGAAGATGGTGGGGGTGGAGGTGGCGCCAAGGACGGGGAAGCCAAGAAAGTCAAGAAAGAGGGTGGCAAGGAAAGGAGTGTGCTGCTGGATGGTGAGGAACTCCTCGTGAGAGTCCTCAAGGAGTTGAAGGGAAGGAGGAGGAGGAGGGGTCCCAAGGATACGATGTGTGCATGCGGGGAAGGAGGAAAGGGGAGGAGCGAGAAGTGGCACTTTGTTGCTGCTGAAGCCGCTGCTGTTGATGTTGCTGCTGCTGCTGCTGCTGCTGCTGCTGCTGCTGCTGCTGCTGCTGCTGATGATGCTGCTGCTGCTGCTGCTGCTGCTGCTGCTGCTGCTGCTGCTGCTGCTGCTGCTGCTGCTGCTGCTGCTGCTGCTGCTGCTGCTGCTGCTGCTGCTGCTGCTGCTGCTGCTGCTGCTGCTGCTGCTGCTGCTGCTGCTGCTGCTGCTGCTGCTGCTGCTGCTGCTGCTGCTGCTGCACCGGCTGCTGCTGCTGCTGCCCCGGCTGCTGCTGCAGCTGCTGCTGCTGCTGCTGCGGCTGCTGCTGCTGCTGCTGCCCCGGCTGCTGCTGCTCCTGCTGTTGCCGTTGCTGCTGCGGCTGCTGCTGCTGCCCCGGCTGCTGCTGCTGCTGCTGTTGTTGCTGCTGCTGCTGCTGCTGCTGCTGCTGCTGCTGCTGCTGCTGCTGCTGCTGCTGCTGCTGCTGCTGCTGCTGCTGCTGCTGCTGCTGTTCCTGCTGCTGCTGCTACTGTTGAAAAGAGGGAGACTAATAGGAGGAGGGAGGGGAGGGAGGGGATGCAGCTGAGTGGGCGGGGGAGGCGGGTGCAGTGGGGTCGTAGCCGTCGGCAGAGGAGGAAGGCGGGAGCGGAGCGGCTACAGGTGGGAAGAGGGGCGCGGGGGGGAGGAGAGGCGGGAGGACGGTATCGGTCCAAGCGAGGGGGCGAGAGGGAGGAGGGAGAGGATCAGGGGGAGGAGTGGAGTAGTAGGGAATGGATTCGTCGAAGACGACGTCGCTGCTGCGGATGAGGCGATTGGTGGGAGGGTGGAGAAACAGGTAGCCTGGGGAGTCGCGGTTGTGCCCAAGGTAAACGCATTCCAGGGCGCGAGGAGCAAGCTTGCCAGCGGCGCGGGAGCGGTCAGCGGGCGGAATGAGGATGAAGGACTTGCAGCCCCAAACACGAAGGCCGGCAGCGTCAGGTTTGGCCTTGGACCAAAGCTCTGTGGGGGAGGAGGAAGGATGCTGAGGGTGGGAGCGGAGATTAAGGAGAAGGGCGGCGTGGAGGAGGGCATACAGTAGCTCCAATTGGAAGGAGGGGTGGAAGCATGAGCAATGAGGCAGCGAGCAATTTTGGTGATCTCACAAATGCGACTCTCAGCGACGCCATTTTGCTGAGGGGAGTGGGGGAGGGTGGAGGTCTGCTGAATGGCGTGGGTCGTGCAATAAGAGGCGAGTGTGTGATTGATGAACTCACCCCCACCGTCAGAGTGAAGGCGGCCGATGGGGCGTTCGAAGTGGTTGCGGCACAGCTCAGCCCAGTTGATGACCACAGCCGGCACCTGGTCTTTCGTGTGAAGAAAGAAAACGGTGGAGTACCGGCTGTGGTTGTCGACGAGGACGAGCATGTACCGGTGCCCCTGGCGGGAGCGGATGGGATAGGGGCCTCAGAGATCCATGTGCACGAGGTCAATGGGGGCGGCGGCGAAGGTGGGATGACTGTGGTGGGGTGACTGTTTGAGCTTGCCGTGGATGCATGAAGGGCATGGGGGAGAGGGGGAGGAGGGGAGGGGGGGTAAGACGGGAGGAATGCTGCAGAGGAGACGAGAGGTGACTGTGGTGCGAAGTGCGGTGAAGTTGGGATGGCCGAGTCTGTGGTGTAAGAGGACGGCAGGGTGCGAGAGAGTAGTGGAGGAGGAGGGAGATGGGGTGATGGAAGGGATAGGAGGATGGTGGGGAGGGAGAGGAGGATACTTGAGGGGGAGGGGAAGGGGGGAGTAAAGGAGGGGGAGGTGGACCGGTGGAAGTACCGGCACGGGTGGTGACGTGGCAGAAAGATGGGCGAGGTGTGCAGAGTGTGTAGAGGCGAGTGCCAGGGCAAAGCGGAATGCGGAGAAGGAAGCGATCAAAGGAGGTTTGGTAGAGATCACAGTAGTTAGCAAAGCCGGGGTAAATGGCGGTAATACCAACACCTTGGAGCTCACGGTGGGAGATGAGGTTGTTGTGGAGAGTGGGGATGTAAAGACCTGTGACCTTACCGGAGAAGGCAGTGCAAGGGAGGGTGGAGAGGTGTGTGCATGGGATGGAAAAACTGGAATCAGCTCCAAGAACCTGAGTGGGAAGTGGTAGGGGGGTGAGAGTGCCAGCGTATTTTAGTGCGGTTTCAGTGGCCCCACTATCAAGGTCGAAGTCCAGGGAGGAAGGAGGGGGAGGTGGCATGGGGAATTGGAAAGAAGTCTCGTTGATAGCAGAGGGATACATGGAAGCGATGGATGGTGTAACACTGACATTACCAAGGAAACTACCCGAAGTGCAGCTCGGGGACACGTGGGGGGGCAGAGGGGAGGGAACCCCAGGGGAGAGGGGGAGCAAGGGAGGCATGAGCGGCCATGGCCGCTGTGCCGAAAGTAATCGGCGGCTACTGCCAGTGTGGCGGAAACAACTGCTGCTGCTGCTGCGGCGGTGGCTGGAAGAACTGCGGCGGCGGCGGCGGCGGCTGCTGCGGCTGGAGAAACTGCGGCTGCTGCTGCTGTTGCTGGAAGTACTGGTGGTGCTGCTGCTGCTGCTGGTGCTGCTGAAACTGCTGCAGCTGTGAAGGTGGGGAGGGTGTAACCAGGCGGAGGTGAGCAGGAAGGAAAGATGGGAGGGTTTGAACATCCACCAGGGAGGGGCGAGGGGTGACAGTGTTCCAGCGAGGAGGGGTGCCAGTGTTACCTCGGTCAAACCAGGCGTCGTCGAGCGCCTTGAAGCACGTGCTGGGGGGATGGTTGGTTTGGCCGCAAGGGGTACCAGCATGGGGACCATGGCGGCGAACATACGTGCATGGGGGTAGAGTTCCAGGGCGACCGCCTCGAGTCACAGCACCACCAGCACCGGAAGATCCTTCAGTAGGGGTGCCACCAGCACCACCACCACCACCACCGCCACCACCACCACCACCACCACCACCACCGCCCCGACCTTCACCACCACCGCCACCAGCGCCACGACCTCCACCGCCGGCGCTTCGACCACCCTGGTTGCGCGGTTGCGTAGCATTGAGGGAGCTGGAGGAGGAGGACTGAGGGGTGGTAAGGTTGATAATGGGGGTGCGGAGCTTGACCTCCGTGTCAATGATCCACCGGACCACGTCGTCGAGGCTGGCCATGGGGTTTGCCTCAGAGAAGGCATGGAGGCGGGACTCGTAGTCCGGGGTGAGGTTGTAGAGGAGGCAATGGATTTGCAGTGGCTCGGGGAGGGCGGCTTGGCGTGCCGTAAGGCGATCAGCGACCTCCTGCATGCGCCCCACGTAGTCAACTGCGCCGTCACAGACGGCCGGCAATGTGATTTTTTCTGCTCGCTTTCCGCTCCGCTTTTCTCTCTCACGCACTAACCTGTCTCTGCTCCTCCGCAGCTGCGTCGTTGAAAGCGTCCTCGTTCTTTCTCCCAATCTTTCGAGACCCGGCCATTGCTCTCGTCTCCACCGGCAGCAGCAGGGAAGATTGGATCTGCACGCAAAAAGGCTGCGGGAAAGCGAAGGGGAAGAGCCTCATTGCTGCTGCAGCTCACACCTCGGCAGCTGCTCACCTGCTAGAGTTGTCGAAGGGAAGCTCAGCAACGAAGGCGTCACTCCACAAGTTGAACTTAGACATCATTCGCAAAGACTACGGCCTGTGACAGAGTTCGAGCGTTACCTGGATGCAGCTGCTTGTTGGTGCTTAGGAGTTAGCGTCGTCTGTTCTGTTTCTTTAATCTGGATGATCAGGGGCTGCAAGCCGGTGTACCCATGAATATAAAAAATCACCTCACCTTCTCCAGCCTGAACGTCAACGGTTTAGGCAGCAACAACACCAAGCAGACTAGAGTTAGATCATGGTTCATGACGGGCTCAGACATAGCAGTTTTAGTTGACACAAGACTAGACTCAGACCACCCGTACTGGACTTCACTCTCAGCAACGTCATTCATAGCTACCGCTCCTAGGACCAGTGCTGGAGGGGTAGCGGTCCTCAGTCGTAACCCCGCTATCACCTTTCACGACACTATAGCTCAACCTTCGGGTAGAATCATTCAAACCTCAGTTAGAGGTCTCGGTCTTGACCTGATCCTCCTCGCAGTTTACTTTCCATCCAGCATCCCAGCTAGAACAGCCTTCTTCCGTGACTCCTCCGGGCCCCTTTTAAAAAGTATCCCTCCTTCGGAACACCTCTTGCTGACCGGCGACCTGAACATGATAGAAAACCCATTGTTAGACAACTCTAGAGGTCAAGGCAAAGCCTTAGAAAATGAACGCTTCTTTCAACGCTGCGTAGCCTTCCAACTGTTAGATGCTTTTAGAATATTGCACCCTGGTTGCAGAGAGTATACCTTCTTTGCAAAAAGCCACAGAGTTACGATCGAGCCTTAGTCTCTCAATCTCTCATTCCTTACCTTTCTTACTCCGCACATATCATGTCTGACGATCCCATCTCAGACCATGGTTATGCCATCTCGATCGCCCTGCGCCTCGATGAGGAGCATTGCAGGGGGCTGTTATAGTCACAATAGGCTTCAATGTGCCTAAAACGAAAGATAGAGTGCACAGTCAGATTTCTGCACAGCGGCTTTAAACGTTCATAGCGATCTGGTCACAGCTTCAAATGACCTCATTCAACTTGGATCTGGAGCGTCTTAACGTCGCCTACAATAGGCAATTTAGATCGCACGATTTCATCAAGAATTGACGACACAGCATCAGATTGAACGAACGACACTATGGCAGCAACATAGTCTTAGGAGACACAATTACGAACAGCTAGGAAGAGTTACGAGTTGGGAATGACTCCCAGCTCCTACAAACCCCAAGAGCCGAGGTACAGTGATGTGGAACAGTGCCACACTGTCCCCAACCAAGAAGGGTCTCAAAACTACCCTCCACAAGGGCCTACACCCATAGAAATGTTACACTACACATTGTAATGTAACTATCTTCAATATCTTGAGGTGTAGCATTTTTTGGCGAGCTTCGAAAAACACTTGAAGCTTGAACCAAGGCTCGGGTTCTTCATCACAAACTCAACCTTGAGTTCTTGATGGGTCTGCTGCACACACCTGCGACACGCCGAACGTTCGACAAGCGACAAAATAGAAACCGCGCACGGGACACACGACAAAATAGAAACCGCGCGCGAGACACAAATGACCGCATTGACACGCGGCTAGCGATAACTCGCTATTGACTCGACACACACACTCGACATCATGACCCATCATTCACACACCATTATAAGCATGAAATATATATTTATTTCATGCACTCATACCACTCCATGCACACACGCATGCACGCACACGCACACGGACAACAAGCCGAGTGCAAACCGTAGGGTTGCACCAACAAACTCCCCCTCGGGTTGTTGGCCTTAGGATCTTGCTCTCTCAGTTCAGAGCCATCCCAGCCAGCTTGCAACACTTCCAATGCTGCTGCTCCACCAGCCTCTTGGTCATCATGTCAGCTGGCTGCCCCGTCGTCTTCATATAACGCAGCTCAACTTCACCCGCGGCCACCATGCTCCTCGTCCAGTGCCACTTCACCCTCATGTGCTGTGCTCCGTCTGGGATTTTGATCAGTATATCGTCTAAGTAAACGATCACGTACTTCTAACAGTGGGCGCAAGGCTTCGTCATGGTCATTTGGAAGGTGGCGGGGGCGTTGGTCGGTTCAAAAGGCATTGCCGTGTATTCAAACGACCCGTAGTGGGTGAGGAAGGCGGTTTTCGGGCAGTCGCGCGGATTGACTCGAATCTTGTGGTAACCCCCTCGAAGATCGATTTTCGAGAAGACTCGGGTTGTGCGAAGTTGGTCAATCAGTTCGTCGACTTGCGGGATGGGGAAATGGGACTTGATGGTAACTCTGCTTAGTGCGCGGTAAACTATGCACATGCAAAATTCTGAGTCCTTATTTCGGTGTGAACAGTATCGGTTCGGCCAAGAGTGACGAATTTGGGCGAATGAATCGTTTTTTGAGCACGTAATCTAGTTGCTTCCGCAGTTCGTCCAGTTCAGGTTGGGTCAGTCCGAACTGTCACTACACCGTCGACTGTGCCCTCAATTCCAGTTCTATCCTATGGTCGTGCGGTCGCTGGGGTAGTAGTCCCTCAGGCATGTCGTACGGAAGTATTTCGCTGTACTGCTTCAGTAGCTCTGCCAAGTCACCCGATACGTCAGCGAGTAGTTTCTGTAAATCCCTCGATTTGTCTACTACCTCGGCTTCCCGAATGTCAACACGTACACATCAGCTCCTTCCTCTGTGGCGCATTTCATCGTGATCGCGTTGACACGCACCGATTGAGACTCAGTCGAGCTCCAGCGAGGTAGGGCGGTGTTGTTAGAGTTCACTCGCACAGTGTAGTCACACGTCGTCTAGTAGGTTCGCAGGTTGTGTCGTCGCAACCAATCACAGCCGAGTAAAATGTCGGTCCCGTCGAGAGTTGTTGCCAGCATTTCCTAGGTGATGGTGAAGTTACCCTTGCATCGGATCCAAACTCGGTCCACGCGTTCTTGTATCGCCAGTGGCATGCTATCGACCAGTCGTGCGTCGTCCTCAGGTGAGCATCTGTCCAATGTCAGTTTCAGTCTTCGTGCTGTGGCCGTGTTGATTAGGCTGTGGCTGGTTACCTCTTCGACGAATATTTTAACTAAGTCGATGCGAATCTTCCCAAGCAGTATGGAGCTATCTACCGTTGTACCCTCCTTATTCGGTCAGGTGTGGTCGATTGCGTGAACCGGCACAATCACTCGGTGAGGGTCGGTCGGGTCAGGCGAGCGGCGTGACCTGTCAGTAGAGGGCCCGTCTGCTACGGACTCCCATCGTATCCCTGCTGCTTGGTTTGTTTATGCTGCTCAGCTCCCCCTTTCCCTTAGCGTTGCCGTAGGACCCCGGTCTCGGTCGGCGTAAGAAGTCGAGCTTCTTCGAGCTTCTCCGCCATTGCCAGAATCTCATTGAATTCAGTGGCGTTGTGCAGCTGAATCTCCTAAGCAATTTCGTGTTTCAGTCCTCCGACATAGCGGTCTATACGCTCTCCCTCATGCATGTATCCCACCTACTCGCACAACGCCAGAAACCCGCTGGTGTAGTCTTGGATGGAACGGAGCTGGCGCCAAGTGCAGAGCCTCTGTCGCGCCGCGATCGACGCCGCGATTGGCTCGAATATTGCGCACAAACCCACGTGCGATATTGCGCCCAGGGTCCGATTTCTCCTTCCTGTCAGAATACCTACTATCTCGACATGCTATCAGAGCAGGACGATCCTGTTGGGTCGATCCTGTGGGTGGGCCCCACCACCTTAGTCTTCCGCTGCTCCTACTACTCTGTGTGTCGCACGCCCCGTGGCGTGCGACGGATTTTTCATCCCGCCGCGCGCTCGGGGCGTGCGGCGGTTTTCTCCCCGCCGTGCGCCCCGAGGCGCGCGGCGGTTTCCTACCGTGGGGGACCCCGCGCGCCCCCCCCCCTTTCGTTGCGACGTCCTAAGGAGCCGCGCGCGGCCCCCCGCGGCCACGATTTCCCGTTGCGCCGCCCTGGGGAGCCGCCCTCGGCCCCCCCCGCTGCCCCGATTCGCCGTCGCGCCGCCCTGGGGAGCCGCACTTGGCCCCCCGCTGCCCCGATTCGCCGTCGCGCCGCCCTGGGGAGCCGCGCGCGACCCCCCGCTGCCCCGTCGACGGCCGCGACGCCTTGGGGAGCCGCGCGCGGCCCCCGATTTCCCGTCGCGCCGCCCTGGGGAGCCGCGCGCGACCCCCCGCTGCCCGTTCACGGCGCCCTAAGGAGCCGCGCGCGGCCCCTCGCTGCCCCGTGGTGGCGTCCTGGGGGCCGCGCGCCGTCCCCCTCGCCGTCCCCCGCGCTCCTTCCCCCGTTCCGCCCGTTTTAGGGTTTGGGGGTGAGGAGTGTGGGGGTGGCGACTATGGGGGTGTCGGTTGTGAGTTCCTCCCCCTGCTCCTCCTCCTCCCTAGTCTCCCTCTGCTACAGCTGCCGCTGAGGGGGGTGGTGTGTGGGAGCCTAGGGTTTGGGGTTTAAGGGGGGTACCGTGGGAGTGGAGCTAGCTAGGGTTTGAAGCAGAGGGTGTGTGTCGAGGGGTGTGGGACTGGCAGGGGGAGGTTGAGCGGAGGTTGCCGTCGTGTTGTACACAGCGCTTGTACTCCGGGGCACTCATTCCCGGTAGCTCAGAGAGCCGGTTGCGCCGTCGCCTGTGGGTCCGTTGCTCCTGCCGCGCATATTAGCCGCGGAGCCTGTTACTCCTGTACTCCGGGGCACTCATTCCCGGTAGCCACGTTGTCGCACCAGAGCCGTCTGTTGCCCGTGTGTCTGCAGCTTCAGTCGTCGCCTCCTATCTACACTCCTCTCGCCAGCCCTCCTCCTCCTCACTTGCCCCCCTATGACTGCCTCTAGCTTTGCTCATAATTGTGAACCTTAAACTATTGCTTCTTGCTTGTGCTCAGAATGTGTGGTGACATCGTGATCCACCCTGAGCTTGTACTGCTTTGCTTGCTCTGCTGATTACACCCCACTTTGACTATGGGGGTGTGTCAGAATATTATGCTCTAGCCTGCAGTGGGGTGCTCTATAGCGAGTACAACCCTTCTAGGGTTAGCTATTTGTACCACCATTGTTGCTAGTGCAACCCCTCCTTTGCTTCATTCTCTCTTGCCTAGCTAGGTAAACCCTAGCTATGGCTCCTAAGTATACCTACTATCTCGACACTTCCCGTGGCGGTAGAGTCTCGTAGTCAGTTGGTTCAATGACGATGACGCGCCACCAGTCCATGGCAAGCCCTCGCAGTAGTGACACGGCGTGTCGGATTTTCGTCGCGTCCGATGAGACGTAGTTTGCGTTGAAAAAAAAATCATTGTGAACAGCCATGCCTGAACTGTCGGACCACCTCGTTGGCTCGGATTGAAGCAGGGCGAACGCTACGGCTTGGACGGCATCGGTGATGGCAGCGCCGACTCGTCGTTCGGCGCCGAAATCGTGACGCGTAGTTGACTCCTCGCCGCACGTCGCTACGGGGTGTGTCGTGTTCTGGTAGTCGTCTCCGTCGTTGCGGGCGACGCCATCACTAGCCGCGCTCGAGGGTTGTCCCACACTCCCATGTTGTGATGCCTTATATGCTCCTTGTGCTTGCGTGCCTTGTGTTTGCGAATGTGCTTGTTGCGCCCATGTGACGTCATTTTGCAGTGATGTACGTTCTGCCGTCAGCGCCAAAAATTTCTTAGGTGATTTCGTGCAGCTGTTGCAGCAGTTGATTCAGGCGCTCTTGCGTGAGGGTCGTGATGTCGATATGCTCAGCCATGCCGAAGGACGGCGGCTCGTCTTAGCTCTAGGCGCAGTCGTGGCTACAAGCGTTTACGCGAGAACGCGAGGATAGCGGCTCGTAGGTGCTAAGGGGGGTGAGTCCCTTCGAGTGCAAAAAACAAAACTTGAGTTTTCTCTGGTTGCAGAAATGTGCGGTCCGAAAGAAAGTGGCTCTAAGAATTGCACCGAAAGTAATTAGCGAGAATTGCACTAGACTGTCAAATGAGTACAAATTAAGAGCAAAGGCATGAGCGAATACTTATACGCGAAGCATGCAAACGATAACGCGGTGCGTGCAAGCTAGCTAGTGCGATGCTGGCATTAAGGTTCGGGCTAGTCCAGAAGCATAGGCCGACGCTGCCGGGCCAGCCGTGCATTGTGTGGTGAATAGTGCGCGCGAAGGATGGCAGAGACCCGTTAGCAGTAACGGGCGAACAACGGCTGCTGCTGTACGCGATGTTGAAGAACGCGGTGAGGAATGCAAAAAAATCCTTACACCTATCGTGTTATGCTTGTTTTTCCTAGATTCATTGCTTTTTTAAATTTATTATAATTATAGCGCCAATTTAGGTTGCGTGCACCGAATTCTGTTGAATTTCAGTAAATTCCACGTGACTTTGCATGCGCGTTATTTTGGTCGAATTTCGTATATCGAATTCGGCAAGGTTCCGTTCCAGACGGCCTCTACGGAACATTTCCATAACAACTAGTTACCCACCTTGTATTGTGCGTATATATATAGCAACGTAGTTGTACCAAAGATTAATAATACCGTAATCCCCCGCATAGTACACCCTAGGGTGTATTGATAAATACTCCCCTTTAGGGGGGTGTTTAATTATGGGGGGGGTGTAAGCCTGCACCCATGGGTGTTATATAATGACACTTTTCCATATGAAAAGACACATTTCTTGTACTCAGCCTACTTTGTTTATCGAGTCGAGCTGAGAACGGTCGGAACTGCACACAGATTGCGATCCACGTCATGCTGACTCACTGGCAAGCTCCTCACACGCGCCTGAATCGATCGAAAGTAGCCCCCCAGCATCGCGTGAAAACGTTTCGGGGAGTGATGCGTCCCTCTTCATAGAGAAACTCGCTAAAATTGACCTCGCGATTCACATTTAGATAAGGGGAGGGTGTACTGATAAATTCAAAAAATCAGGGGGGTGTTCTAACTGGTGTATTTTTTAGTACACCCACCGTAATTGAACACCCATGGGTGTTTTATTTTGGGTTAGGGTGTACTATGCGGGGGATTACGGTATATTTTTCTGAATTCGATCGTCGATCCTCACCAGCGGTGCAAGTAGCGCGATAACTAGCATCTAGCGGGTGAAGGTGAGTCATGAGGCTAGTGATACTTAAAAATACATAGAGATCAGGGAATATGAAAGGTATGATGAGGCGTCGTAGAATACCAGAGGAGGGGGTCGAGTAGGGAGCAACAATAGCATCAAAACATTCCTTCACCGACACGACCTGACGAAGGTGACGCGGCACAAGGCGACGGTTGGGCCCATTCCTCTCATTCCTCTCCGCCCATTCCCCTCCCTCCCTCCCCCCGTCCCTCCCTCCCTCACTCACTCCCTCCCTCCCGTGCTCCCTCCCTCCCTCCCTCACTCACTCCCTCCCTCCCTCCTTCCCTCCCTACCTCCCTACCTCACTCACTCACTCACTCCATCCCCCCCTTCCTCCCTGCCTCCCTCCCGTGCACCCTCCCACTCTCTCTTGACGCACCTGCAGCAGCAGGGAATGACAGCCAGGCGTCAGTCACTCCCCCACGCCCACGCCCACGCCACGCCCACACCCTGCTCTTGCTGCCACACCTTGATGCTTGTGCTGCAGCGTGCCTCATGTGCTGCAAGCGAGGGACGTTGCTTGTGAGCGCTGTGTGCTGTGAAGCCACTGCCTTGGTCCGTCTCAACTCATCATGCTCTGCTGTGTGTCACCACGCCTGCCAAGTCAGCACAAGCACTGCGGCTGCACCAGAAATTGAAGTGGACGGTACTAGAGCTTGTACAATGTAGTGCGGTATCTATCACACCTCCCAGAGCATTGTGTGTCAAGTACCGTATGAATGGACACACACACCATTCACTCATCCTAGGAGTCTCTGTACTAGCCCCTGCAAGGTTGCTGCATCCATTCATACCCCAATGCCACTTCAAATTGTACAATAGCCAATGCTACCATTACAGGAAGGAACTACTACCTACTAGCCACAATTTCACAGCAACTACTCACTATTTGCTACCTCAGTCCTGAGCCATCCCTTCAGGAGCACATCAGTCCTGAGCCATCCCTTCAGGAGCACATCAGTCCTGAGCCATCCCTTCAGGAGCACATCAGTCCTGAGCCATCCCTTCAGGAGCACATCAGTCCTGAGCCATCCCTTCAGGAGCACATCAGTCCTGAGCCATCCCTTCAGGAGCACATCAGTCCTGAGCCATCCCTTCAGGAGCACATCAGTCCTGAGCCATCCCTTCAGGAGCACATCAGTCCTGAGCCATCCCTTCAGGAGCACATCAGTCCTGAGCCATCCCTTCAGGAGCACATCAGTCCTGAGCCATCCCTTCAGGAGCACATCAGTCCTGAGCCATCCCTTCAGGAGCACATCAGTCCTGAGCCATCCCTTCAGGAGCACATCAGTCCTGAGCCATCCCTTCAGGAGCACATCAGTCCTGAGCCATCCCTTCAGGAGCACATCAGTCCTGAGCCATCCCTTCAGGAGCACATCAGTCCTGAGCCATCCCTTCAGGAGCACATCAGTCCTGAGCCATCCCTTCAGGAGCACATCAGTCCTGAGCCATCCCTTCAGGAGCACATCAGTCCTGAGCCATCCCTTCAGGAGCACATCAGTCCTGAGCCATCCCTTCAGGAGCACATCAGTCCTGAGCCATCCCTTCAGGAGCACATCAGTCCTGAGCCATCCCTTCAGGAGCACATCAGTCCTGAGCCATCCCTTCAGGAGCACATCAGTCCTGAGCCATCCCTTCAGGAGCACATCAGTCCTGAGCCATCCCTTCAGGAGCACATCAGTCCTGAGCCATCCCCCTTCAGGAGCACATCAGCAGAGCAGCAGTTTTTTTGGCCTTCCACCCTCCAGCCATCAAGGTCAGCAAACCCACACTGCCACAAACAGCCTGCTGTGAAGCAGGCTGCAAAAAAGGCTAGTGTCCCACCATGCTTCCCAACCCGCATTCCCAAACCGCCCCACAACCCCCCACTCGCTCCTCACTGCTGTGCATCTGTGTCTTCACCCCATCCCACCATTTCCCTTCATTGTCCGTCCGGACTTCTTTTATGTCTTTTTGTTTCTTTCTTTTTTTTTTTAACCATTCCTTTTAAAACCATTCATTTTGTTGTGACGGCAGCAGTCAAGGCCGCCATGGGCGCCTTGAGGTGGCGAGCCCGACCTTGGGTGTTGTGCTAGGCCGCTTGCGTGCAGCTTCAAGTTGCACTCCCCGCACCTCCCTGTGCGGTGCAGCACAGCTAGGCCTGGGAATCAGAGTCGCTCCCTCCACGCGCCTCACATTCACTCTCTTGTTGCTCGGTTTCGGGATGCGTGTCGGCGGTACAGTATGTGCTGCCTTGCTGCGACCTGCTGACGCCGTTGACGCGCGGGAATGCGCTTCAAATTCCGCCGACGCTGCACATTCCGCCGACGCTGCGCATTCCGCCGACGCTACGCATTCCGCCGACGCTGCGCATTCCGCCGAAGCTGCAGAATGCGCCGAAGCTGCAGAATGCGCCGAAGCTGCAGAATGCGCCGAAGCTGCAGAATGCGCCGAAGCTGCAGAATGCGCCGAAGCTGCAGAATGCGCCGAAGCTGCAGAATGCGCCGAAGCTGCAGAATGCGCCGAAGCTGCAGAATGCGCCGAAGCTGCAGAATGCGCCGAAGCTGCAGAATGCGCCGAAGCTGCAGAATGCGCCGAAGCTGCAGAATGCGCCGAAGCTGCAGAATGCGCCGAAGCTGCAGAATGCGCCGAAGCTGCAGAATGCGCCGAAGCTGCAGAATGCGCCGAAGCTGCAGAATGCGCCGATGCTGCAGGCTCCGATGCTGGAGAGTCCGACTCGGCAGATTCTGATGCTGCACGTCGCGATGCTGCGGAATCCGACGTTGCAGCTGCAGTTTGCGATTCGGCACAATCGGCAGCTTTAAGTGTCACTTGATCTGACCTTGAAGCCGGATCTTGTGTCGGCGCTTGATCCGACGTCACAGGTGGAAGCACTGGAAGCATTGGCGCTGCTGCTGTGTCGTCGCGAGAGCAGGCGTCGTTGCATTCGGCGCCGACGTCATGGCTAGTATCATTGTTGGTGCTGCAGCGGGCCGTGACGGCGGAAGCACGGCTCGTGTCGTTCGATCCGCCGCTGGACGACTCGCTCAGCGGCTGAACGCGGCGTGATGCCGTCGAGTCCTCCCTGCCGAGACTCTTCCAGAAGCTCAGCGCTGCAGCATACGACGGATAATCTGAGCGGGAAACTGAGGCCATGCTGACGCTGAATGAAAACGGCAACGGAAGGCTGAGAGCTAGTCACAAGAGAGAGCGAAGCTGGAGAGCGATGAGAGGAATGAGCGTAGGCAAGGGATTTGTAGTGCGCAGGTGTGAGGGTGGTGAGTGGAGTGGAGGAGAGGCAGAGAGGGAAGGCCTTGGGGTAGTCGGGGAGGGAGGTGAGCAGACACCAGGGCAGCACGCACGCTCCGTGCGCCGCGGAGGGATGAAGGTGCGGGAAAAGTTTGCTGGTGTGTTACTTCGGTTCACTCGGGTGAATTCAGCTTCGCGCGCACTTGTGTGCGTTTCACGTTGGTCGGGGATCTCCCGAACTCCTCGAGAGGCTGGTTCGGCCTGGCTTGTCTGAACCAAACCATTCTCGAGTCGCTCCCTAAGCCTCGCCATTTCTGTTCCGAGGCAGTTTTTGCCCTTGGTTTTCGCCTAGCTTGTTCGCTCTGCCTTGCCTAGACGACCGGTTTACGTTCCTCCGAATCCCATTGCACCGTAATTTTAAAATGGTGACCGATATAACAAAGTACTCAGACTATTATTGCGTCAAATCCAACGGTGTATGCGGAGTAACCCCAGGGATAACGAAAATTTTCTCACATCAAGAGGTCCTAAAACCCCAACTACTATTTTGTAGACCAGACCAGAGAGCTTTTCGTCTAATATCAAGAATGCGCTCTGGGATCCGAATCTTGCCCACTGATCTGCGTACCTGCCTAGCTGACATACTGTTACATAGTTTGTAAATGCACAGCATTCAGACACCTTTCCTGACGGCATTGACTAACTCTTCCCTACGAATGCGCACTCCCTACTGGCCTACCTCCACAGATGTTAACGTAACTCTAATAGACAGTAAATTTAAGAGTGATTGAGGCGGCAAAACACATGAATGAAAAGCCCCTCGGTTCCAACATCCAAATTCCACGTTCCCCAAGGCTGGTTCCCCAGCAGCACGGCATTGGTCAGCGGCGCATGCGGGCACGGAGGCGGCGCAGTTGGCGGGCAGAGAGGCGCGGCTTGAGGCGCGTGGAGGTGGCAGAGGGCAGGGGGCGCGGCCTCAGCAGCTCGTCCAACAGCCGCTCTGCTGCCACCTCCGTGGATGCCTGGGGTCCACACACACACACACACGGACTAGGCAATCTGGTCAACTACAGTTGGCTGTCGACATTGCATGTGAATGCACAACCACCAGCAACACTTTGAATTGAAAGAAATTGCAATGCAGGTGTGTGACCATCTGCAGGCGCCACCCTCCCACACTCAGCAGGAATCTATCTCCCACGGGCAGCAGGTAACGCACCGGATATCTGAAGGGGAATCGCAAGGTCTGCAGTTCGAGGCCCATGCGCACCCTCACGTCTATGCCCAGGTGGTCTATGCCCGCCAGCCACACCTCCTGCCATGCCATGCACCAGGGGAGACAGAGGTGCCGTGGGAAGGGGTGCGGAGGGGACGGGAGGGAGAACAAGGGGAAAACACGTAAGGGAGCAGCGAGCCTCAAATGGGACATCCAGCACGCGTGACACACTGCGCAACAGCCACCACCCGCCATCCACATTCATCACACAACGAACCCACCAGTCCGTCCCCTGCCCAAAGCACCCCAGCGCACCTCGGCGTCTATCCCATGCTCGCGCGCACACAGGTCGCGCATGCAGCGCCGCGCCCGCTCGAGTGAGTTGGCGCGCTGCACTATGCTGTCCGCCACGTGCGCCAGCAGATCCGGCGCCGCCTCCTGCCACTGCTGTGGCGCCACCTCCTCCTGTCACCCCCCCACACACACGCAGGGGTGCAGGGGTGGGGAACAGGGCAAGCACACACACAGCTAGTGAGAACGGCAAGGAGCAGAGGAAAGGAAGGCGTGACGCTTTCAAATAGCAGGAAGGGAGGTGCAAGAAAGTTGTTGATAGGAGGGGAGTTGGGTGGGCTGGCAGCAACCTGGCAGCCAGAGGAGGCGAGCAGCTGTATGTGTACGAGGTCCAGCCTGTATAGCACCGTGCGCATGCCACCCTCCTCCCACCCCTCCTCGCCCTCACTTCCCTCCTCACCCTCGCTGCCCTCCTCGCCCTCACTGCCCTCCTCACTCTCATCCTGCTCCGCCCTCACCACCTCCGCCCACTCGGCTGCATTGAACGATCCCACTCGTTCCACCCCTTGACCATGCGCCGCCTCTCCCTGCTCTTCCCCTACCACGCCCTCCCCAGCGCCAGCAGAAGGGCTGCGCAGGTCATTGCCCTGCGAATGCCGCCCCTGCCCACGTCCTTGACCACTCTGCACGTCATTCCCTGGCCCCACGGCACTCAGCCACGTGGCCCCAGGAGGCACCTCCAAGATCCCATCACCTGTCCTGCTGCTGCTGCTGCTGCTGCTGCTGCTCGTTCCCTGCGCACTCGTCTCGCCATCCTCTCTGCTCCCCGTCCCCTGCTGCCCCTCTGCCATCCCCTCCCACGCCCCCTCGCCCTCGCCGTGCGCCCAGCCCCCCTGACCATCCCGACCACTACTGCCCAAGTCACTGCTCTCGCCATCGCCGGGCCGCCAATCGGCACCCCACGACACCTCGAATGCCACGTCGCCATGGGCGTCAGACGGCGAGGGGCGCGAGTGGAAGCAGGCGTCGCCCTGGAACACGTGCTCCAGCCCCTCCACGCGGTACCCCACCACGCCCGCCACCGTCTCCTCCTCCCGCCCTCCCACCCCAAACCCACTGCCCCCTACCTCCGCCGCGCCGCTGCTGCTCTCGCTGGCCGCGGCCGCTGCTGCCGCTCTCGGCTCCGCCCTGGCTGTGGGTGCTTCCGGCTTCCGAACCCTCATGCTGCCCTCGCGCCTGCCTTTGCTGCTCATGCTGCTACTGCTGCTGCCTGCTTCGTGCCCTTCACTCAACCCTTCCGCCTGCTTCTCCTGCACCTCGTCCCGTCTCTCCTCCTGCCCTGCCCCGGTAATCGCCTCTTCTGCTCCAGGAACAGCTTCATCCAACCGAGCAGCAGCAGCAGCCGCGCTTCTTGTGCTGCCACCGACCTCGCTCTCACGTCCCTGCGCTGCACTCGCCTCCACACCATCCGCACTGCCCTCCCCCCCTCCCTCTCCCCTTCGCCCTCCCCCTCCCCCTCCCCATCCCAGTCGTCCTCGTCCTCCCGGCCGTCATACGAGGCGAGGCGCTCCCCCAGCAGCCCGCGCACGCGGAACTCCTCCTCTGACGACAGCGGGCGCACCTTAGCCACCAGCAGCAGCCGCTGCAACCGGCCGCGCCATGTCCGCCATGGGGTCCGCTCCCACCGCCTGGGGGGACACATGGGGGCACATGGGATTGAGCGCCTAAAGAGGGAGAGAGAGAGAGAGAGAGAGAGAGAGAGAGAGAGAGAGAGAGAGAGAGAGAGAGAGAGAGAGAGAGAGAGAGAGAGAGAGGAGAGAGAGAGAGAGAGAGAGA